CCCACTCTCCCTGTGACTTCTATGCCATGGGTTTCTCCAATGACAGCATCACCCCATAACTTGGTACTTCTGGGTCAAACTTCTTGTAAAGGCAGTGTTATGGGTTGAACGTGAAATGTCTCCAACAAACGAGTGCTTAAACGATTGATCTTCAGCTGGTGACATTCTTGGGGGTGGGGGGTTGTTGAATCTTTGAGAGGTGGAGTCTACCTGTAAGAAGGGGATAAGGATGGCACCAGTGGTTCTGCCTGCTGTTTCTTGCTCTTTTCTTATCTCTCTGTTCCCTCCCTCTCAGAAGTGAGCAAGCCTCTCTCACACACCCCTGCTTTTCCTGACTCGATGGATCACATCTCCCTATACCATAAGTCACAGTCTTCCCTTCATTAGGGGTTGCTTTAGTTAGACTTTTTCTCACAGTGCAAAGGGGAGAAAGAGGAGGAGAGAGAGAATGAAAAAGATGGAGTAGGAAGAGCCTGAGGATGGGAGGAGGAGGAAGAAACAACCTAGAGGGTAGAAAGATCGTCCTGTGGGTAAGAGCGCATGTTGCCCTTGCAGGGGACATCAGTTTGGATTCCGGTAGCCACATTGGGTGGCTCACAACTGCCTATAACTCTAGCTTCAGGGGAATCCAGTGTTCTCTTCTGGACTCCATGGATACCTGCCCATCCCCTCAACACACATACACAATTGTTTTAGAATTAAAAACCGCAGGCTAAATGTTTATACAGCTTATTATAGACAAAACTACAAAACAATGTGGCTATGTCCCAAGCTTTCCTTTCCCAACCCATCCTCACTCTAAGGCTTCTATATTCAGCCTTAGACCAGATATGGCACTTGGTAATAATCCTCCTCGATTCCTCTCCCCTTTCCCACCCACACACATAGCTAAGTCTGGTGGGCAGCGTGGGGAGAATGACATTCTCCTCTGAAACATTCATGCCACCTCCTCTGAGGCAGCTATCCCACCAAGGGCTCTCCTTAAGCATCAGGAGAGCAGTTACCCACTAACAGGAGATTTTTAGCTGAGAAGAAAAGAAAACTCATCCTTTTAGGGACTTGGAGGGGGGGCAGGAATACTGTTGTGGAGAGGGCTCTGAGTAGTAGAGGATAGGCCAGGAGCAAAGAGAGGCAGCACTAACCAAGACCCCAAGGTGAAAACCAGCTTTATCCCTCTCCACGAAATCGTACTTCACACTAAACACATGCTATGGACTAGCCTGGTGTACTCTCAGGGAGGCAGATGCCCAGACCTGTAAAAAAACTGCTAGTTTCTGTGGTAAATACAGCCCCACTGGAGCAGAATGCAAATGTCCAGCATAACATCCCTGCATGGGAAGAAATGCAACATGAGCACTGGGGAGCCAGGCCAGAGTAACTTCAGCCCCTACGGGCTGGGGAGAACCAGTGAATCCGACCAAGAGTGTATAAAGAGGTCCCATGCTGCCTGTAACCTACCGAGCACTGCCGTCTTGGGGAAGGGGACTGAACTGTATCAATGAGACGCTAGGGACTGAGCCAGAATCTCTCAGACATGCTAGGCAAGCACTCAGATACTCAGCTCAACCCTAGCCCACTTTACACTTTCAAAAGATTTTAAAATTGTTTTCAGTTAGGTATATGTGTGGAGGGCTACGTGCACGAGAGTGCAGATAACCATGGAAGCCATCAGATTCCCTAAACAAAGTTCCAGATGGATGTAAGCCACCTATGGTGTTAAGGGACTGAACCCAGGTCCTCAGTAAGAATGCTAGGTGCTTTAAATCATTGAGCCAGGTCTCCCACCCACACAGCCTGCCCCACTAAGCTACTCAAGGTGGCTTTATTAATCTCACTCTTCAGTCCCTGCTGGCCTTGAATTTGTCACTACCTGCCTCCCAGGTAGCTGACATTACAGGTCTGCAACAACAGGGCTGGCTGTCTTCATATTCTACTAAACTGCATGGCCTATGAGTGTAGGGCATTTCATGCTTCTACCCCACAGCTCCGGCATGACTTCTGCTCACCACAGTTACCACGTGTTTGCCAGCTGAGGCAGGTGGGCAGACTGGGTTGAGTGAGTAGAGACATTGGACCCACCCTACACCCCACACCAAAACGCAGCAGCTACCAGCCACAAGGGACATAGAGTAGCTCGGAGCTGGCTATGGGTAAGAGAAGACAAGTCAGATAGCTGTTCCCTGGTACTGTCTGCCCAGCACCTTTGCCCACCTGGCATCTGTGTGCATGGCTGGATCCCAGACTTAGCCTCCATTCTCACTTTGTACCTTTTGGTAGTGACTCGGCAGTCATACTGAGCAGATCTTTGGCCTTGGTTCTGGGAATAAAGTCCAGAGTTCTCAAATCATTTTCCTTTCATGCTTCTTCACCTGTACCTCTTGGGAAAGTTCTACTCTCTGGCTTTGGCTGTGATATTTTGGGAATGTGGACTCTGGTCGACTGAGGCTTTCTCTGTAAGAGGTTCCTGACTGACTCTCCACAGAGGTATGTGCAAAGAGTGGGGTTGGGGCTTAGGGAGCCATCCTCCAGGTGTTCAAAGCCAAGCAGGAGGCCTCTAGGTGGTGTGATGTACATGAGCGCCCTCTGCTGGCAGGATGATCTGCTTCCAACTCAGCTATTTTCCAGCCTCTGTATCCATTCTCCTGACCCTTCTGCATCCCCACAAAGACCCCACAACGCTTTCAGGATCAATGCTTTATTTTCTCCAGCTCCAGTGTTACAACTGTAGCAGCACAACAGACATCCACACATGTGAACACACTGCTGCTCCCCAGACCCAAAGGCCACAAAGGCAAAAACAATCTTGACCACAGGCATTTTTAAGACATCCAGAAAGCAACACTGGGCCACTCTTATCCCACACACTGTGTGACTGGCAGCGGCACATTTGTTGTTCACAGACAAAATTATCCATAAATAAAGTTAAATAAAACCTTAATGACATAGCAGTATGTTGGAGATATAGCCCTGGGGTGACATTGGAGGGCAATAGTTGTAAGACATGAGACGGGGTGGGGGGCAGAGGAAGGGAACGAGTGCACATAAAAGTAGCTATATTTAATTCAATTCTTTAAAAAGTCATGAATTAAGAGCATCCCATTTTTAAAAGATCAATATTTGTCTATAATAAATTAACACTCATCTATTAAATGGCTGACTGTCACATGATCTGAACACACACACACACAGCTAAAGTATTATCATTGTACCCAGGTGGGATTGTCCATCCTTGGATGTCACTCCAAAGATGCCAATGACCAAGATAAGTTATAGCTCTCCTAATCTAGTCACTGGAAGGGGAAGCATTTTCCTATCTAGAACTCTGCAATATCAAAAAGTACAATCAACACACACACTATCATGTTTGTGGGGGTCAAGAAAAATTTCAACTTTGGAGCTAAGCAGGGGGACTGACTCCCACAGAACTTTTGTTGAGTGCTTCCTAACTTTTAACAACTTTTTCGCAGACTCATCACTGGCTCAACCTTAGGCTGACTGGATGGGGCGGGCAGGTTAAAAAGCTGTCCTCCTGCAGACTGACCAATCATAGGGAGGGGATATCTAGGAAAGGACCCCTGGGCTTCAAGCCCAGAGAGTTCTGAAGTCTTGGTCCTACCTTACAAGACCCTGACCAAAGGGGCTACCCCAGTATTAGATAACTGTAGAGAAAATCCAAGGGAAAATATTGTCTTTGTAGCAGGATTAGTCATCAGTGTATCAAAGGGTGGTGTAGGAATAGTTTAGGGTTTGATTTATATTTGACTTTAGACTCTACAATTTGACAGGCAGCCCAGGACATCAGTAAGACAGAAACTTGCAACCAGCCAGGAAGCCCTCATGGAACATGTGAAAGTACTTGAGAGAGGTAGTTCTCTCTGAAAAGAAGGAGAAGGAGGAGGAAGAAGAAGAGGAGGAGGAGGAGGAGGAGAAGGAGGAGGATAAGAGGAGGAGGAGGAGGAAGAGGAAGAGGAAGAGGAGAAGGAGGAAAAGGAAGAGGAGGAGGAGGAAGAGAAGGAGGAAGAGGAGGAGGAAGAGGAGGAGGAGGGGGAAGAGGAGGAGGAGGAGGAGGAGGAGGAGGAGGAGGAGGAGGAGGAAAAAGAAGAAGTCAGCTGACCAGTGTGTAACTTCGCTAGACAAAACCGAAAGTCTGTAACCACTGGCACTGAGTGAAAATTCTCCAAGTACAAGCTGAATTTCTTCCCAGGAAGCATGACCATCCATGGGAACTCAAGGTCTAAGCCTCCCCAGGGAGGGAGCATGCTAGCCAAGGCTTCCAAAGGAGACCAGGGCCCATGGAAATGAAAACACAAGTGTATTCCCTGCTTACTCGAAGACAGTTGGAAGAGGGAAACTGAGACCATCCTGTCATCTTCATGAGGATGAGAGACTGGACAACACAGACACAGGCTTGTGTTTTCTCTGAGATGATCTGACTCCACTTCAGGAAACAAAGCAGAGAGGACATAGGTCCTCAAGTGACACAAGATGAGACAAGGCTGCTGGGCAGCTCTGGAGGGGCGGAGGGTCACTGCAGGCTTCAGTCCCGGCTGGGGGCTGGCTTCAGTGCATTAAGAGGCTATGATGTGAAAGTCATGCAGCTGGAACAGAGCAGGAGACAGACGAGTGACAGAAATACTCAAAATCCCTAGACTGCAAGGGAAATGGGTCAACAGGGGATGGATATAAAAACTTACAGACCAGGTTAGCAGAAGTGCCCAAGAAGGAGGTTGCTACAGAAATTATTCCTAAGACAAAGGCAGAAACTATCTCACCGACTCGCTAGGCAGACGGTGGCATTTCCAGTGCTAAGAGCTGACCAGGGAGGCACAAGTTCACATCACTCACACGGAAGGTTAAGGCCAGCCATTCTTATTCTACTGGGACAGCCAGGCTGCTGAGGACTGTACGGGGGGTGTCCACAGAAGGAGGAAAATGCCCCAGGACCCTACTTTTGGTCCTGGAAGTCTTAAAAAGACAAAAAGGCACGCGGGGGATGGCTGTATTAAAAAAAAAAAAAAGCTCCAAGTGATAGACTATTTTGATTTGTTTCAACGTACCTTTCTCCCCATGAAAAGAGAAATTCAAAATATAAACTTTGTATTTATTATTTTACATTCAAGTTAAACTCCCATGGGAGGGGCGCTACACACAATTTCAGGCCACATAAAGCCATTTATTACTTTGGTGCCTTTTTTCCTTGTGTTTTTTGTTGTTGTTTGTTTTACTTCTCATGATGGAAGAATTCAACTCTCTTATTTAAAAAAAAAAAAAAGCCCATCATTCCCAACTCTAATATTATTTATGGACACACACAAGCACACACAATTTCAAAAATCTCTATGTAGAAAAATAAAGGATAAACATTATCCACCTATTTCAGACTGGGTAATGGTACTTTTATGTACATAAACTTTTTCTTTACTGTGTCACTGTTTGCCTCTTCGGTGTGATCTAAAGATCTAGGGAGAAGACCACAGTGAGGCAGAAAAGCTACATTCCTCTCGAGGAAGGAGGAGAAAAAAGCAACTCCTCCCTTTCCCCAAGTTTCTCCCGCCTACCACCACCTCAGATGTCCCCACAGACAGCGTGCTGGACAGTGGAGGCCGGTCCTCCCTTTCTAAGGCACCAGGGAACGAAGGGCCCGGCGCAAGCACCCTTCAGGACCAGACCTGGGTGCAAGAACAAGAGGATGAAGCTGGAACAAAAGATGCCGGAACCACTTCCCACTGCCCTGTTCCTTTAGTACAGAGTTCGATTCTCCAGCTGCCGCTTCGTAAGGAAATACTTGAAGAACTCATAAACAGACCAGGAGATGGCGGTGGAAGGCATCTGGTAGATGACTCGAGCCTGGATGCCTTTGAAGTACCCAGCGAGGCCGTTGAGCTGGTATACCGTCCGGAAGGCATTGGCCATGCCTGACAGCCGGCCGCTGACATTGGCTAGGGAGAGTGCCATGTTCTCCTGCGTGTTGAGGAGGGTCTTGCAGACATCCAGCGGGGTGGTGGCAGCTGCAGCCAGCGCACCGGCCAGGCCTCCTGAGATGATGTGAGACTGTGGGTTGTAGTCCCGGCGAGGGTTGACTTGCTCCTGCAGAAACTCATAGGTGATGAAGTGGATAGACTGGAAGGGTATGTTCATGGTCAGCTGTGTGGTGTAACTCCTGTAGAAGGCCCCCAACCCCTCGGTCCGCCACACTGTCCGGATACAACTGAGGGCTGACTGGTGCTGTGAGTTGTACATCTGTAAGCGTTGTTTCACCACTGTGTCGGGTGGGGGATGAGCAACCAGCAGACAGGTAGATGGTTAGGCCCCATCCCAGATGGGAGAGAAATGGGAAGCCAACCAATAAAGAGAAACAAGCATGTTAGAATACACACCGGTGACAGATACCAAGACAGCACACATATAGCCCCAGCTAAGAGGCCATGGAAGGCCAGCTCCAGGTAGCCCACCTCAACTTTATGACTTTGCTCAAGGAAAGTAGGTACTTCTAAATAATTTCCGGTCTGAAGCTTGAATGAGAGATGATTCCCAAATCAGGCGGTTACTTCAGGCTCGATTAGCTGATCCCCAAGCCTAGCCTTCCATATACTACCCTCTCCCTGACCTGTCCTTGTCCCTGAGCCAAGCATGGTGGCACATAATATTAAGTCCAGCCCTTAGGACGCACAAACAGGTGGATCTCTATAAGCTAAGGGCCAGCCTGGTCTACACAGGGAATTCCGGGCCAGCCAAGAATACATAGTGAAATCCTGTATCAAAACAAAACACTGACCTATAAGATTATCCCTGATTTCTCAGTGATCTATCTATCTTGTCTGATTTTAATCTCTACCATAGTACTCCTGGGATCTTGGCTTTAAGACAGAATGAACCAATGGTTCATAGGACCAGAGACAATAAAGTGTATTCCCTAGAGTTTCAATGGTACCTACACACTGCCAAGACGCTCGATCTTTAAATAGGGACCTAATTGAGTCAAGAGTCACGCCAAGGGGGAAAGGGAGATGAGCCTCCTGTAAGTCTTACAAAAAATACACACTCAAGAGGATGGGGACCAGAGAGATGGGTTCAATGTTAAGAGCACTTGCTGCTCTTCCAGAGGACCTGGATTTGATTCCCAGCACCCATAAAAAGACTCACAACTGTCTGTAACTCCAGTTCCAGGAGATCCCGTATACCCTCTTCTGGCTTCTGTGGGTACCAGATACACATAAATGCATACAAACAAAACACCCATCCACATAAAAAAAATTAAAAATATAAACACCAGGTATAGTAGCATTTACTTATAATTTAGAAATATAGAGGCCAAGTCAGGGGATAGAGATTTTAAGACTAGCCTGGGTTACATAATACCACCTTGTTTGTTTGTTTGTTTGTTTGTTTTTAGAAAAAATGTTTAAATAAACAAACTCTTTGGTTAGTTAACATTGACCGAGTGACTGTCGTTGTCAGGTCCCCATATGAATAGATTTTTAAAAAAGAAAGAATCCTAAGGTCTATACAGCTAGTCAGTTCCTCTATAGCATGATACTGTATCTGCAGATTTAACTAACTGTAAATGAAAATAATCAGAAAAGAAAATAGTCTGTACCGAACATAAGCAGATCTTTTCCTAAGCGTCATTCCCTAAGGGAGGTCACACAGCATCTACTTACACTGTACTGAACCCTAGGAGTAAGCCAGGGATGGTTTAAGCATGCATAAGGATGCCAAGTGGGTTATAAATACTGCCTTACTTTATAAGAGGACCCCCAATATTCAAAAGAAGTAAAGTAGCCCCCTTCAAAATGGCCACATTAATTTTAGAAGTGCAGAGGGTTAATAATTCTCTATATTCATTGTTTCTGGAAATTTGCCACCATCTTACAAATTAAGAAAAAAAAATAGGCTGGGTGTGTCTCTAACCCCAGTACTCAGGAGGCTGAGGCAGGAAGGTTCAGAGTTTGGGCTAGCCTGGGCCTCAGAGAAAGTTCTAGGGCATCCTGGGTTGCATGGTGAGATTCTATACTAATGGGGCTGAGGAATTTAACCCACAAAATGAGATAGAAACAATTCTCTCTAGATTTGTCTGTGACAGGAGACAATTAACAGGGTCAGATGTGTGTGTATGTGTGTGTGTGTGTGTGTGTGTGTGTGTGTGTGTGTATGCAGTGCACACCCCCTGAACACACAGGTTGCACAGTAGTTATTAGCATGCAAAGCAACCCCCAGGTTTTCTGTCCCAGTGGTCCAGGGGCAGGGCCTAAAGATTAGTTTCTAACTCCTCCCAGGATGCTACAGGTATGCAGACATCTCTGCTTAGCTGTTTCCACAATGGAATGCTCCTAGAGCCCCAGTGCTCGCTGGCTTTCTGGAGACCCTCAGTAATATATGGGGAATGCAGTCTTCCCGCAGGCTCCAATGAAGCCAGCCCTTGCCCACCTTCCTCCCCCAGCTCCTTCGGCCTCTCTACCAATCCCCCATGGTCCCTCCCTGTAGCCACGGAACATTACCTTCTGCTGGATTCATTACTGCATCGTGGAGTAGGGTGGCCATACTCCCAGCTATCCCTGCAAAACAAACTCCAGAAAATTACCCACTGTCACCTGCTGTTCTGGGAAGTTCCATGAACTTAAGTCAGATAAACGCTGGACTTAGCTTTCTAAGGCTCAAAGTTGCCTAGCAGCTCAGCCAAGGTGAGTAAATTTGTAAATCCCAAAGTGGTGGCAGACACTCTGAACAGCAGTAGGGAGGCAGCTATCCAGAGCACTGTTCCATCTAAACCTCAGCGGCTCCTTTGGTTTATATATCAACCTTGGGAAGTTAGAGCTCTGGAACCACACCGCAGGCATTGCCTACTGCAGACTTGTATTCCCTTGTCCATTCTTAGGACCGGCCCTGTGAGTGAACGACTTCATCTGAAGACTCCTCCAGCCTGGCTTTGAAAGCCTGAATTCTGCTTCTGGCTTCCCAGGGCCTTCCACGGCAGTGCAGCTGCCTGTTAATTACAACGGCCGTGGAAAGAGGGAGGGACGAGGGACAGACTACAGGCCACTTCTCAGGAAGGCACCTAGTGCCTCCTACTTACTGCACACATAGACACTCACACAATTATCCCCAGAAAGGTGACAATGATCACAGCATTTACCATAAGGCTACAGGGATAGCATTGGGCAAACCCTGGTGTAGGGCTGGGTTTTGTCAAATCTCCTAGTCTCCTTCAAGGAGCCAAACCATTACATAAGGTGGTTTGGGTGAAAGAGGGTCTGTTAGCACCACCTCAGAAGCATGAGGGCATGGCTCTTGGTGACCGAAGTAATCAATTTAAAGAATGGTCACCAGCTGAAAAGGCAAATGATGTTAGCCTGGGTCTAAGGGTGGCTCACAGGAAGGATACTGTTTTGTGGAATAAAAAGCAAAAGAGAGGATTGCTGCTGATTATATTCACTTCTCCATTCCTCAGAGTGAATTCTGTCAAAATGAACATCATTTTATGTTGCTTTGCCATCCACGGTCCTCTCCCACCCACTGAAAAGCCCGTTAAAGTCCCACCCTTGCTAGTAGTTGGCCCAGCCCATTGGCTCTGCCTTCTGTAAGAGCTGATGCCCCATTCCCATCCACCTGCCCTCCCTGGATCAACCACAGGAAACTAGTTCAGCCCTGGCTTGCAGAAAGATGCGACTCAGACACACGGAGGAGGCTGGGGGGGTCAAAAGCCCGAATCTCCTGCAGCTTAAAGTAGGGATGGCCTTCCACAGTGGCTCGGAGTCCTCTGTCAGCATAAAACGTCTTGACCTTTCAAAGCTTAGTTAGATCCTGGCGCTGGAGATACCTGCTGTACCAGTTTTTAAATAGTCTCAAAGAAGCTGTCCTTTTCTGTGTTTTGTTTTGCATCCAGCATTCAAAAGAATTTCTTTTCCTATGACTGATCATTAATTGTTTCGAGTGATTTTTTTAAAGCAAAAAAAAAAAAAGCCACACAATAATAAATACCAAATACCAAAACACATCTACCACCAGCTTCCCCCAGAGAAAGAGGGATTGAATAAAAAAAAAAAAAAAGAAACGTGTGCGCGCATTCACGTGACCCTAGAGTTCTCTGTTCCTGAGCAAACTGGATGAGGATGAAGGCTGCTGGGTCCTGGGGAGGAAGCCCCCAGGGAGCAAGCACTGAAGAGAAGAGCTTCCCAGCTCCAGACAAACGCTTTCAAAATACCATTAGCTAGATGGCTGTTTCCTTGGTGGCTGAAAACGTCATTTAAAGTCCTTTTCATGTTTTCATAGCAGGCAAAATACATGGCGTGCGCAGGCCCCGCCCCCATCATCATCACGTTCAGGCCTCGCAGCGGCCTCCAGAAGCCTTCAGTGCGCATGATCCTCTTGAGGGCGCCATAGATGCTTGTATACCGGGCTTTGGGATCTGGATTCAAACTCTGCATCCGTGTCTACGGGAGACAGAAAATATGTATAAATAGGGGAGTTAATACGTATGATAAGGGGGAAGGGACAACCTAGAGAACAGAAGGAAAAAAGTTGTTGAGAAAAAAAATGGATGGACTCCTCCATCGGTCTCCACAGTTCTGAATTTGCAAAGCCTCACAGCTTGTGAAAAGATGGGCAAAGCTAAGGAGGGGGAGAAGGGACTATTGAGTGAGAGAGATCCCTGCTGAGTCCTACCATGGGTAAGCTGTGTGGCTTTGTGAGATTTCAATGAAAACACCACATTTATTAAGAGCAAGTGTTGAAATAATGTCTTCAAAACCCCTCCACGACCTTGGGCTCTTGACTCCAAGTCTCTGGAGAAGAGTTAAGAGTTGATCCTGGAGTCCCCACTAAGGACACCAAGATTCCTGAACATTTAAGTTTCTATAAAATGCTATAGCACTTGTGACCCATGCGCATGTCTCCAGATGATATCTAATGAAACAAAGGTATTGTGTAAAGGCCTTGGGATATGGCTCCTTTGGCAGAACGTTTGTCTATTGTGCACAAAGCCTTGGGTTTGAGCGCCAGGACCACATACATGAACCAGGCACAGTTGGGCATGCCTGCAGTCTCGGCACTCAGGATGCAGACAGAAAGGGGACCAGAAGTTCAAGGTCAGGCTAGGCTACATGAGACCCTCTCTCAAAGAACAAAACCAACTAATCAACCAACCAACCAACCATCCAACCAAAAACAAACAAAACACTGTCACCACCAAAAGAATGCTATAGGAAGTTATTAGAGTGTTCTATTCAGAAGTTAATGGCAATGTCTGTACTTGCTTAATACAGGTGCACATTTTCTGTATTTATTTTATTTTATTTTATTTTATTTTATTTTATTTTATTTTATTTTATTTTATTTTATGTGCATTGGTGTGACTGTCAGATCCCCTGGAACTAGAGTTACAGACGGTTGTGAGTTGCCTGCCATGTAGGTGCTAGGAATTGAACCCAGGTCCTCCAGAAGAGTATCCAGTCCTCTTAACCACTGAGCCATCTCTCCAGCTCCTTTTTTCTGTAGTCATCCTGAACATCTGGCTGCAGCTGTTGATCTGGAGAAAGCCATGAGTGATCAGCATCCTCCTGGTCTACTCTGGTTTCCAAGTCGTGTGCACCCTTCAACACCTGAACCTCTGTGCCCTGACCATCATTCCTCAGGTCCTAACAGGAAAACCTCTGCCAGATCCTCTGGGCCTCACCCATATCTTCACCTTTGAGTATCTTTTACAGTATGTTTATATAAAGTAACACTCAATACGTTGAGGAAGCCATGCTCTACTGCTTCCTATGCAAAGAATCGTCTGTGTGGGAAGAGACCAGGGCTCACCTGGCTCTGTTGCCCACCAACACTGCCCAGGTATGAAAAGCACTTAAGGAGACTGGAGAGTTAATTTCATACTTCAACAGCTAGGCTGAGGTACCCAAATACCTGATCAAACATCAGTGTACTCTAGATGATTTTCTAATATTTGTTTTGTTTTGTTTTGTTTAGATAAGGTTAACATTTAAAGTCAGTTGTTCCTGACTAAAGCAGGTCACTTGTGTGGTGTTGGTAGCTGTCCAGCCTGCTGGCCTGCCACGAAGGCTAGGTATGCACAGCCCCTGCATTGATTTGTGTGTGTGTGTGTGTGTGTGTGTGTGTGTGTGTATGTGAGAGAGAGAGAGAGAGAGAGAGAGAGAGAGAGAGAGAGAGAGAGAGCGCCTACTTGAAACACCTGCCAAATGGTGGACTTATGTCCCTCTTCCTCGACCCACCCCCACCCCATCTTTCCCTTCTCCACACCACCGCTCCCAGCCTAGAGGAGGGAATCTTCAACCTTTGGAGGCAGAAGCTTTTTATTCCCAAGCAAAATCACATATAACACCTAACATACACTGGAAATGAGACAAAGGGCCCTGGGTTCCACTGTGGTGTTTCCCTTCCACTCCCCAAAACAGAGCACCACCTCCCACCCCCAGCCCAACTCCCCATTGCTCACCCCGGTGAACACTGTAAAATACAGTAGCCTCAGTTAGGAGCTGTTTTCAGATCTCAGAACATTCTTCCCACTAAAACTGCAGAGAACATGGGCATACTCTTGCCAACCAAGACCCAGCCAACAACAGAAGTATCAGTTACTACTGACCTTTGCCACAATTATCAGTTCCTCAAAAATTAAGTGCATTTTTAATGCTTAATAGGTAAAAGAAGGGAAGGAGGGAAGAAGGAAGGGAGAGAAGGAAGAAAAGGAAGGGGATGGAGGGAGGAAGGGAGGGAAGGAGGGAGGGAGAGAGGGAGGGGGAAGGGGGAGGGAGGGAGGGAAGGAGGGAGAGAGGGAGGGAGGGAGGGAGGGAGGGAGGGAGGGAGGGAGGGAGGGAGGGAGGGAGGAAGAAAAGGAAAGGCAGACCTAATGGTACAGGTCTGTAATTCCAGCTCCTCCAGGGGCTAAGACATGAAGACCCAAAGTCCAAGGCCATCTATCTGGGGCTATATAGTGAAGAAGCTGGGCAGCTTACTGAGACTCTGTCTAGAAATAAAAACGAAGAAGCCATGACTATAGATCAGTGGGAGAGCACCTGCGTAGCATGTGCTAGACTCAGTCCCAAGCACCTCAGAAAAACAGGTAGGAAGGCTGCCTCTCTGTGTCTCTGTTAAGACAGACAAGTTATGATGGGTGGGGGTGAGAGGTATGAGAATGGGAGTGGGAGTGGGGGTGGGAGTGGAATGAGGGGGTTGACACCCAGAGAGGGGTTTCCCCTTCTAAGTGGAATGGGGGAAGACTATGTGAGAGGGTATTGGAAGAAGGGGTGATACTGAGTTGTAAAGTGAATTAATATAATAATAATAATAATAATAATAATAATACACAGCCAAGTTAACTGCAGCCTTGTCAGAAGTTCTCCTTTCTCTCCACAGGCTGAGGGAAGCGTCTCTGGCCCACCCTGAGGAGGCTGTATGTTGGTTTCTGGTTTAATTGGAGGGTCTATCATAAGCAGACAAAAGCAGGGTGAAGAGTTAAGCAAGCATGACAACCAAAGGGACAGGGGACTCATGGCTACCTCGCTGTTTAGCTGCCGGGCAGCAACTGAGAGATGTTCAGGTATGTATAGTGTTCATGTGGGTGAGAAAGGCCACTGTCCCTGGGAACTGAAGAAGCTGTCAGGCACTGACCTGTAGAAGATTTGAAATCAAAGTTTCAAGCAAATGAGGTCTTGCCTTTCACTGGGCTGTGTGTCTTGTAGCTGTCAGTGACAAAAAGCTAAAATCTCAGCATAACAAATGGTGCAATGCAGGGTTTGCAGCCCCGGGCCTTGGCAGCATAGGACTAGGGTGGATTCAGCTCTCAAGGCCCTTGTTGCAACCCTGGTCAGTCAGTTCATCTAAGGGTTGAGTCCATTCCCTTGGGAGTGGCTGGGAAACGAGATGACATCCTGTCTATTGCATCTCTGAACTTAATAATAAAGAAGTCATGGGAGGGGTATATGAAGAGGACTATGGAGTCAGGCTATAATCTCCCCGAGAGCTGAGACACCACCCCCACCCCCAGTCTGGGTTCTAGTTCTCATTCACTGCAAGGACTCAGGCATGGTAGATGCACTAATCCTCTGTACCCAACAAATATTTGCTCAACAGATGAATAGATGAGCTGATGATACAGTGGGTGAGGGGATTCTCCATCACTCGGCCCACCTTCCCTGAGCAAGAACTATATTCTCAGGGACCAAATCCATCCTTCACCATCACCACCTTTTACCCTTTCCTAACTGATGTCCGCTATTCCTCAAGCTGTGGTAACTCCTGCTGAACCGGCTTGTCCCTGAAGACTAGTCTGGGCTTATAGAAAAGAACGATTCTAGTCAAGCCTTGTCCAGGGCAGAGGGCCCCATGCCTCCAAAGAGAGTCTGCTGTCTTGTGCTTCTTCTCAGGGGAGGCTTACCACCTCCTCCAGGGTTTCTGGTGTATGGGCAGGGTCCTGCTAGGGTTTACACACCCCATGTATGGTTGAGGGCTTTCTTGTATCCAAGCAGGCAGAAACCACAGAGACCTGGATGAGAACTAGGGGGCAACCAGGTGAGAAAACAGGCATCAGAATAGCCGTTTCGAGGCCTCAAACTAGACCAGATGTTGGCTCCGGCATTTGCAAGTGGGTTCTGATTTGTAATGTTACCTACCTGGTCCCCAGCATGTTAGGTTTGAAAATGAAAGAGAGGAGTGAAAGGGAGGGGGGAGAGGGGAGTGTTAGAATCACCTGAGGTGAACTGTGGCAAGATCCATGGGTACCACCTCAACACAGATGAATTCAAAATGTTTTTATTTCCTAAATTCCTCTGATGATTCTAATCACTGCAGGCTAGAAGACCCATTAAAGGGCCCTTTAGGCCCCGCCTAGCCCCCTGCTACTTTCAAATACCATCCTCAGCAGGATAGGATTCACCTCTAGTCCTGTGAGGAGGGAGGTGGTTGACGGACAGCAGTGGGCACAGAGCCAAGCAGGGTGACAGTGGGGTCCACAGTGTAGGCTTCAGAATCAACCTGAGGTAGCTCATCCTCGAATATGCCCGTCTTCAGCTGTGATAACCGCCCAGTATGCTCCTGGGGACACAATCAACAACTATATGTCCTATATGTCCAACTATAAAAGGGTGAGCCTTTTATACATGCAAGACCATCCCTCAGGCCTTTCCTTCGCACACACATCCTTGTCAACTCATTAGACACAGCATCAATACTAATGCATCCCAGGGAGGTCTGGGATTGGCTGCAATCATTCCCACCCGCTTTTCTGATAATGCTGTGGTAATTTTCTGATAATGCTCCAAACCTCATAGAACCTACATGCACCAACCACCGGAGGGAAAGAGAAGGCCACCTGTGCGTCTCTGTACTGTGGTGGATGTTTCAGTCTCTGGGGGAAGTTTGGTGCTACTCACCTGGAGTATGGCGGGAGGCTGTGTGCATGGAGCAGGGCCCAGTCAAG